AAAAATTGTTGTCCCCAGTACCGCTCTTTTGTATTCTGCAACCAAACGCGCGGTGGCTTGGGTCGGGTCTTTGCAACCGGTAGGGACTGTTCCATTAGGCACGTGGAATTTCCGAAATTTCAAACCGGAATTTTTGTTGAATGGAAAGCGCCCAACATCTTTCACATATAAGAAAGACCAACGAGGGTTAGATGGTAAGGCCAACGACTTAATGTTAGCCCTGAAGACGTGATCATCTGAACTGAGACAAAATCTTAATCAGAGACCCCTACTGCGGCAGATTAGCTCAGTCGGTAGAGCGCTTGACTGCAGAGCGGGAGGTTGCGGGTTCGATTTCCGGGGTCGGACCATTACTCAGGGTCTTAAAATAACTGAGAAATGAAGGTACTTCCTTTGCACTGCGCGGCTAGACCTTCGCGTGGCTCCGATGACCACGTTAAATGGCGGTCCCGTCCCCTGTTACGTGTCCCCAATTAGTACTTTCGTGCTAAATATATTTACACTCCAATAAAGTGCATTTTTTTCTGTTTGGTGGTCCAGCCCAGGCCAGAGTTGTAGCCAACTCACACGATCAACAGTCGGACGCCTGTGCTAAACGGAAGGTGGTGTATCAAAGTTGTTTTTAAAAGTTCTGTGTACCTTTCCGGTTGCCATCTCAACCACAACACATCCAATACTCCAGATATCTGCTGCTCTTCCGTACCCGGCTCCCTTGTCCAGCGTTATCACTTCTGGGGCCATGTAAGCTGAAATAAAGTATCCTATCATTAAGGCAAATTATACAAACAGGTAGCTATTTTTCAATTCAGTTTCTACAAAATGGTGCTGTAGTTGTTAGCGCAAAAAACTGTCTGACTTGTCTCGCCAAGGAATTTATTTCTCGGATAAAAAAGCGTGAATCGTATTTGTAAGATAATCAACACGTGCAGCACACTTTTTTTGTACATTTCTTTGACGTCACTGTACGACTACGAGGTGAAACGTTATGTGACGTTTTATGGAGACCGTTAACACGCCGCGACGAATTTTTCTTTTATTTTCTAAACGTCCTGCAATACAAACTGCTAGGAGCGGCAAATGCATCCGATGTGGTGAAATCTTATAAGAAACTCACGCCTTATTTTGCTAATAGTCTTAAGTTTTTAAGAAAGTCTTACCCACTGTCCCTCTGATGTTGCTGATTTCTCCGTAGCAGGTCTGGAAGGGATTTTTTAGCTTAATGGATGATCCAAAATCCCCTAGCTTCAAAAGACCCCCAGATGAGACGAAAATATTGGCACCTGAATGAAACGATATTGCGAGTGTCAGAGAAATATTTTCGAATGTTACAGTTGATCCCTATTCAAACACAATCAGCTTATAATTAAATTCAGCCGGCGGAGCCGCAAGAAGAGTTCACACAAGTCAATTAATATTAACACCGATTTATTGGAAGACATTTACAGATTGGTTCTTCTTCTACTACCACATTCCTGATCGAAGTTACATTTCAAACGGTAGTTTCATTAGACCAACTTATAGACGAATGCATTGTTTGCAGATAAACAAACCAATGAATAAAACAACTGTTTTTAAACAGAGCTTGAAAGCCATGAAAAGGTGAATTTTTTGGCCAATCGCAAAAGTTTCGGAGAATAGAATGAACNAGATGAGACGAAAATATTGGCACCTGAATGAAACGATATTGCGAGTGTCAGAGAAATATTTTCGAATGTTACAGTTGATCCCTATTCAAACACAATCAGCTTATAATTAAATTCAGCCGGCGGAGCCGCAAGAAGAGTTCACACAAGTCAATTAATATTAACACCGATTTATTGGAAGACATTTACAGATTGGTTCTTCTTCTACTACCACATTCCTGATCGAAGTTACATTTCAAACGGTAGTTTCATTAGACCAACTTATAGACGAATGCATTGTTTGCAGATAAACAAACCAATGAATAAAACAACTGTTTTTAAACAGAGCTTGAAAGCCATGAAAAGGTGAATTTTTTGGCCAATCGCAAAAGTTTCGGAGAATAGAATGAACCAATCAAGATATTCACCTTTGACATCTCTATGAACAATGCCCTTCTCATGCAGCACACTAACAGCGACAAGTATCTGGTACGTGTACACTCTGATCATTGATTCTGGAAGACCAAGCTTGGCCACATCTGAAATGGTACCATCTGCGCAGTATTCCATGAATATGAACATCTCATCCTAAACACAAACAATGCGAAATTGATAAGAAGGTTAGTTTCTAAAGAAACTGTAGTGCTGTGTCGCGGTTGGGAAATTCAAGAATTAAGCATTTTCACGGCTTAGTTTATAAGGTAAATTCTTTGTTGGTGTCATTCGTAACCCTTTTGGTCCCAAGAGTTACTAACATCAACTTTCTCCTAACAACATCAGTAGATCACCAAGAGTAAAGGTAATGAGAATTACTAAATTATATCACCAAACGGAGAACGCTTTGATCTCAGACCAAATTCTCTCAACTATTCTTAAAAGAAATGTATGAAGATCATTGTGGAGAATTTGTATGTGGATCTTGGGGCTTAAAGGGTTAAATGCTGGACTATGTGCATAGAAGCTACTAAGTCGGACACTCCTGAAATTGTGGATAAACTCTACTGTGGTACTGTACATGCATATAACCTGTACATAGTAGATCTAACTTTTGAGTCCCTGGAAGCAACTGAACAGTACTTTCCTTTGGTACTGTTTATTAAGGTGTATAATGGTCATACTTTAGGATTTCATCCGGGTTGAAATCCGCAAGTTACCCTGGGTGCCAGAGGCTTTTTATGCGAGGTTTCCCGTTTCGGTTAAGTCTTGAAAGGTGACTCGTGTCTTCGGCCTTCAGCCGACGACGTGTCGGCCTGAGACCGACGAAGCTCCTCGTCGCAAGCGAGAAAAAACCTCTTGTACCCAAGGTTTCTTAAAGTATGGCCATTCAAAAACACATTTACTTAGAAGCACTTTGTTGTGGAACTCATTTTTCAACGTGACGCTTACTTATGAGACTGTGAATGAAAACCTTAACTACAACCATTCAAACGGAAGCTTAAAAGCACAACTTTTCTGCGAGTCAAAGCTTAAACGTAAGAGTCTTACCCTGTGTAACTCAACTCCGTAGTATTTAACCAGACTTTCATGTCTAATGCCTTCAAAGTTTTTTATCTCATCGGCCAGATCTCTTATTTCACCATGATCATTTGGCTGAAACTTGATCTGAACGAAAAAAGAAAAAAAAAACCACACACACACAAAAAGAAAAAATTAATTAAGATCCTTACAAAGAGCAGCTATTTGAAAGTGGTAGCACTTGAAACCAGGGAAGATGAACATATTTAAGATATTTTTTGTAGGGTAATGACCAAAAGGGAAAAAGTGGATCGCGGAAAGGGGTGCTGCAGTGAAAAATCCACTATCTTTCCTTTCATTTCTGTTAGTCATTGCTAGGATCTACATTTCCCCTGGATAATTAAAAACGTGGCATCGTCCGCCTCATGGCCAACATACCTGTTTAACAGCCATGAGCTCTCCTGTGTCCAAATTTACACAAGCGTACACTTTACCAAACTGACCTTCACCTGTAACAAGAATGACGGACGGTTAACACCAGCTAGTGCTGACGAAACGAATAACTTGCTTTGAATCTCAAAAATTGAGGAAAACCGGTTTAAAGTCGCTAGAAAAACTTTTAAGTCAAGGTTTAAAACAACAGCTAAAGATAACTGAAAACTCAAGCTTAGACCTGCAGTTATTATCAGAAATTTTTGCCAATGTTGACACATTGCAGACTCGTTCCCAGTCGTCCTCGGCGATTTTGGACGTAACGTCAGGATGTGACGTCACTTGGCAAGCTTGTCACTATCACGCTCGGTTCCAAGCCTCCTCCGCTCACACGGATAGTGCGAACTGGCCTGAGGACGAGGCTGGACACCTTGCTATTGGGAGCTCGTCCCTCTTGCCGATCTGTCTCCAAATCTCTCTTACAACTGCTGAGCAGAAATGATGAATGCGCGTCGAATGCCACTGGAAATGTATAACTGACAAAATCTCTATCTTACCTATCTTGTTTCCCCGTTGCCACTTGAATGGTACCTTCCTGTTGGAAATACTCGCCAGTTCCTTGACTATATCCCGTCGTCTGTTACTTACACGACCGATAGCATGCTTTTCAAACAAGAACTCATTCCTCTTAGTCTCCATCTTCTTTAGCGCGTGACGCACTTTGTCCAACCGTGGAGCGCCAGGAGTTTCCACGTAACTGTCTTTGTGTTTTGGAGTCTCCTTTCCTTCGTCATCGCCGCTATCGTCCTCTTCATTGTTGCCTACAGAAAGATGAACGATTTATTTACCTTCTCCAAGAGAAGCTTTATTCCTCAACGAGTTTCTATTCTTCCCATTTTATGCAACGAGTATTCCAAGGCTACTAATTTTCGTGATAATTTCGTAATACTTTGATTTCGCATTGCCAAGCTTTGTGACTGGTTAAGAAACCCTACGTCATTTTCTTAACCAATCAAAGACATCAAAAGCAAAACACAACATCATTGACAAAACGTCGATTGGTTAGGGCATTTCCCGCGCTTGGCGCCGGGTACACGAGTATGATTCAAGTTTTGATTGGTTTATTTTACTATTCGTTTCACTCGTGATTGACCAAAACTATTGCTTTGTTTTGGGTACGAAACCATTCCATTAATTCGCTTTGGGCATCACTGACGCACAAATTTAATTCCTGTGTTTTTGGATGCTGCTTTGTGATACTTACTTGTGTTTTTAACATCAGTTGCTAAACTCTGAAACTGTTGTTTGCTGTGAGGAGGGTCTGAAAGCTGTCGTCTTGTAGCTTGACCATCATCTCCCTCACCCTGGTCCCCTGGGGATTTTGGTGTCTTTCCTCCCGGCCATGAAACTGCCCTCAAGAGCGCTGATGATGATGAGGATGAGGATGACGATGAAGGATTTCTCCCAAAGACCGGAGATGGACAAGCAGGGCTCTGAGACCGGTAGCCTAACAAAATAGAACGTCGAATCACGTCACGTCTACGTCACGTCGAATCAGTTCACTGAGTGGGAACTCGAAGCACAGCATACACAGTAAAAATCCGCGACTTAGAACCTGGATTTTTTGCAAGTTAGCCTGAATAGGTTCTTACACAAGTGGTAATTAGCACAAATTTACGCTTTTTAGGTTTTTGAATAGGTTTTTAACTTCTAGAAAAAAATAATAAAAAAAGAAACATCGTAGCTAAGAGTATTAAGTGGCATATGTATTCAGCTCATTCATTAGGTAAAACCTGTATACCATTACAACTGCAGTTGGAGTGATAAGGCACCTATCTCTCCAAAGAGATCCTGAATCTTGAGTTATCTTATTTGCTTAAGTGTACAGCCTGAATTGTTTTAAATAGATTTTAGAAAATATGAACCTGTTTAAAATTTTAGGCTAAAAGGGTTCTTGTATAGAGGGGGTCTAACTGGCAAATTTTAGCCTAACAAGTTCTTAAAAACCAGGCTCGCAAGTTTTAACTGTATATCACTGATACTTTCTTCGATGGCATTTCCCAAACAACTGAAGTCATAATTGGACAGCAACAAATTATTTTGCTTGAAAAGGTTTTATTTGAAGATTGAATTTAAAATCAACTAAATTTATCTGCTTTTTAAAGTAACAATTCTAAAAAGGGGTTATAAATTATAGTCCGTTCAAATTAAATCACTACAGTAGAAATTATTTATTTTTGGAGCTGTGAAACTCCTACAGTTAAGTTGGTAAAGGCACCTTTGACTTTAACTCGCTAAACATAAGAAAGTTTAAGAACTCGAAATAACAATAAAATTCTCAGACATGTTAACAGAATATCTGAAGAGAGAGAATAGGCGAGAGAAAAAAAATGAATAATAGGAAGAAAGAAGACATTATGTTGTTGACAACTTGTTTAATACCTGGACTGTTTGCTCCACTACAGGACTCCGCACTACCGATCACGTGACCGATGCAAGTGTTAATCTGTTTCTTTAACTCCTGTTAAGAAAAATTGAAGTAATAAATTTAAATAAGAAAAAAGCAATCAGTTTGATCATGATCATTTACAGTTCCGTATAAAGCGACCACCCAAAATGCCATGACTCACTTGTCGCTTATGGAAGGTGGTAGTTTACAAGAATAGAACCACAGGGAGTAACTTCCAAGAAGAGGTCCGGAGACCAGCATCTGTTTTACAGTAGACAATTTATTGCAAGCAATTTCTAAGTTAAGATATGTGTAATTCCATGTTGTAGTTAAACGTTCTTCGTATACCCTAAGAAACACAGTAGCTTGGAAGAACATAGAGATCAGATCATGCGTGACGTGGTCCCTTACAACGGGTTAAATTATTAAACCGTCATCTCCGAAAAGTGGTCGCGGTAGCTTACAGGTCGTTTACGATAGGTTCCAGCTGTAAGGTTTGGATTGGGAAAATCTTGGCTTTTTGGAGAGGAGATCGCTTAGGGGAGGTGACCGCAGATGGAGGTTCGACTGTAGTAAGGATGAGCAAAAGGCTCTGGTAATTTTGTCTGTACAGTTGTTCATCTGACCAATCAACGAAGGTATTTCCAAAACTATTGCCATGTACTGACGTGGCCTGTTCTCCAGTTGGTTTGATTTAGCTCAATTAGATAAAGCGTTGCGTCTGGTAATCGCAAAGGTCTGGATGTGATAACCTCTTGGGTTGTTCAATTAGCTACGAAGATCGTATTCACTTTCTTCGATTACAAATTACTGAACTCGAATATAGACATGTCACGAACATTCAGGGAAGTCCCTGCATAATCGCAACTCGAACCCCTACACCCCTCCCCCACCAAAAAATTAAACAATACAATAGAAATGTAAATTATCACCTGGAATTCAGATTCGGTCAAAGCTGTCAGAGTCTTAGGATCACAGGCGACTGTCAAGAAATCAAGTCCTTGGTTGGCCCATCTGAATAAATAACACAACAACAAACGTGAAGTGTTCAAAAGAAAAACTGAGTTGTTTGTTTGTAAACAAAATACCGTGATGCAGAAAATAATTTGAAATAATGAACATCCGAAGGATGCCCCAAGTACACGTACATGATATACACTACACTAAACTTTAATGAAATGAGCCACGAAATGATACAAAACTAGACGCAAGTAAAAAGGATCGCACGCGAAACGACAATTTTCCAAAACTCTCATTGCACTCCGCGGCTAGAGACGGTTACCGAGAGAGACACAGGTCTGTGTTTTCACCCTCCCGCCCTCCCCCCGGCCGTTCCACACTAATGACACTGAGGAAGTCAGATTTTTTTCTGGGTTTCTTGTGGTTGATTCTCATCCACATAATTTATTGTTATTTACGTTATCAGCACTATGGCTGGTTGGATGGATGCATGGTTCTATTATCAGTTGTTACTGATCATTAATATGACTGCGAGATGCAGTTAAGTCATTAAGGTGTGGTTGTTTGACTGTGTGATGCAGTTCGTATGTCATAACCCACAAAAATACCCCTGCTCACCACAGAGCCTTCAGCACCTCAAGTGGTTAGAGCATCTGACTAGGCTACGGAGGGTCGTGGGTTGGCATCCCACTTGGAACTCTGGGTTTCTTAATAATTATAATAATTTATTATTTATAAGGTGCAAAATAGCATTTAAATATGATCTAATCCTCACATCTACATCTACATACCTACACATCTACATATTCTCATCTACATGATGTTCTAATTTATTATTTTTAATACTCTCAGCAGTATCACTGAGTTAACTTTCGCCAAGACTTCTGGGACTGTGACTAGCGAGGACAGGGAAAAAAAATTGGCCAATAGGTGAATAGCACGTCCCCTGCAACAATCCCAGAAACAATCGCGGCACGCATTTCGGGAGGTCAAGGGAAGAGCAAAGATTTCACCGCTTACCATACTACCCTATGCAACGTATGGAACCAGAACAAGGAGCAGGGGAAAGTGTGAAACAGTAGTGTTTGAAGTAGGTGACGGAACGTTTACTGTCGTTTTTGTGTCCAAGATCCTCCTTTCTCTGCCCAAACACCAAGCGAGCAACCTCTTTCTGATACTGAAAGTTACAAATTAGTGTGGTGTACAGCGGTCTTCGTGACTTACATCCGGGACTCGCTAAAGTGAAAAGGCGTGATTGAGGCCCCGTTTTTATGGAGAAAACCTATCCCAGTGGGGTAGAAGAGTCACCCTCCCCTCCCAGCCGAGTCAACTTATGCGAGAGTTTGTATAAGAAAAAACTTGATCCCTTTGCTTAAGCCAACAGCGCTTGCACATGCTCTAATAAAAATTGTCTCGTTTTGACCGAGTTGACCGACTGAGTGAGCCAAATTGTTTATATGGAGAAAAGGTGACCTTAACACCACAAAGGTTGACCGCCTAGCCAGGTCACCCTTCTAGCTGAGCCAACCTTTTGTTTCCCCTGTAAACAGTTCGCCACGTTTTGTAAGGAAATGTATGAAACGTTGGTTTGTCCAAAGTAGACCGGGTAGGCGAGTGACACTTTGAGGTTTCTCCAATATAGACGGGGGGAGGGTGGGGAGTGTATATATAATGTGTTGAATTTCATAAAACTTGCTGGCGGTTTCTACACCACAGTCAAAGAACATCAACAACAAATTACGGGTAAACTTTCTCGTGAAGCTAAAGGAAATTTCTCCCTTTTGCACGGTTTCAATTAAATTCACTCATGAAAGTCCCTGTCCCCAAGTAATCCCTGAATTTACCTCAAAACCAAAGTTGTAACATAGATGCATGGTTTCCGTGTACGTTTGATAAACCATGGCCTTCTCTCCTTCATCCATGTCAAACATACTATCAAGATCCAAGTTCTCATCAACTCTTTCCACAGCCCTTACTATGCCCTCGCGAAGAGACATACATGCCTCCTGAAAAGAAACGGACAGATGAAAGATAAGTGCTATAACATGCTGTCAGATGTGAATAACTGCAAGATTGAATGACGAGAGCTGGGAAAGTGCAGTTCTCAGCGCACTCGCCTCCCACCAACGTGGCCCAGTTTAGACTGAGAGTCCCTCATCAATGCTACACGTGGGCTGAGTGTGCTCTTTTTTTTCTCCCCTGCTCTTTTTCTCCCTTTTTTTTTTCTCCAGTTTCTCATTCTCCCCAATACTTATTGCCAAATTCCAATTTAATCTGAAAAGTGTCTTCAGTTAGATGGAGGCACTTGGAGGGCAACAGATTTATCAGTTCACGGAACCCCCTAGTGTTACCCGCTATCAACAATGTCGGTTGGTTTAGTTTAGTTTTTTTGAAGGTGTGGCCTTATGGTAGGGTGCTGAATTTTGCTTGTTAAACCATTTTGTACCCTTTTTATATCCTGGGTAAAGTATAGAAATGTGTTTTCAAATGAACGCTTCAGAAAAAGTTAAGCAGGGTTTAGAAAGAGTGCTTGCCTCCTTGCCAAATTGAGTGTGTAATATCTTGCTTGATTTGCTTAAATTATGCGTGACATGTTTCAGACAAAAATCGGATCGAAACGCACCAATTACTGATCACGAGTCTTCATAGCCAATAACATCACGGCTTAACTGACAGACGACCAATAACATCGCGACGTAATTAAACAATCAGATCAATAACCAGAGTATAATACCATCAACTGACGTGATACAAATCACTTTGACTCTGAAGATGACTACCGCACAGGCTGTCGAAACGTTAGTCACTGTCAACAACAACAGTCCTATTTAGGACTACGTTCACCCGGACGATCAAACTCAACCTACTTTTGAAATGTTTCAAACAGTTGGCCAGTGTTCACATCGTCTGACATCAAACAGTCCAATAGGTAAGGGTGCAAATGACACAAAAATAAAACAATAAATAAATAAATTCATTAATTAATCAATAGTTGAGCACAAACCTGTAACTCATCAAGAGTTTCTGCAATGGCCTGGTGGCTTGAAGTCCTTGGTTTCACAATGCTCGCAGCCAAACTCATACTTTCTAGAAACAATTTACGCTGCACATCCAACTCTTTAGAATTCTGAACAACCAATATCATCCCTCCAACCTACATGTATATTTTGTAAAAAAAGAAAAAAAAAAATACGAGAATTCCGTGAGACTCAAATTGGGATGTGCTATAAATCCTCCTTCAAGTCCCCCAGGGGCTTTTTTAGGAACAAATTTGTGGGGGAGGGGTGGCTTAAAAGAGACAGAGGGCTTAATAAATCTAGCACAATTTAGTGCCAACAAAGCAAGAGAGAAAGAGATACTGTTCAGTACTATATTTTGATACTTTTAAGTGATACTATATATTTTGCATCAATAAGTCAGTGATGAAGCTTCTGTCTTTTTGGAAGCCATGAGAGGCCCAGGGACACTGCGAGCAATGACCAAACTAATATGTTTGTGAACATGCTATGTACAGTGTATTAGACTGTGAAATGCTGTTTTTTCTAAAGAAGGAGGAAAATGTGTGGATTTTTTGAAGGCAGGACAATCAAGTACAAACTACATTTTACACTGACAGAGTCATATCAAACTGAGTTAATCAGGAGGAGTTTAAATGGCTCTCATCACAATTAGTAGAGAGAAAATCACTTTGCTTGCTTTTACCTGTATGTCAGCAAGACCAATAGCAGTGTCCATCGTTGGATTGACTGTCACTTTTTTGCCTGTCCAAGTGAAGGGCGTCTCCTTGCCATTTTCCACGTCACAGGACGGCATGATCAGGAGATATCCCTGTCCTTCCGAGACAACTTGGTCACCAAACTCTTCTTGAACACAGCAAGCATTCAGGAGATGAATGATTTGACTGCAGAAACAATAATATTGTTGATGTCATTCAAAAGCACAGCGGCTCTGGTAGCATCGGGTGGGCCCTGCTAACTTAAGTCTGGTTTAACTAGAAACCCTCATTACACTCAGCATTGCCAAAAAGTGAAGCCCTGCCTGTCCCATTTAGAAACTTGTTGGGTGACCAGCCATGAATATCCTGTCATGAGGACCCCTACATTTTTCGATGCTCGAATTAATGGTCTGCATATGCATAAAATAATAATGTTCACACTTACCACTTTTTCTTGATAAGTGTTTTTGGAACAAACATGAACAGTCCAGTGAGATGGCGAGCTAAAACCTGAAAAATAAAACAAAACAATGTTGAATCTTCTTTCACTGTGCTGTAAAGTAAAAATTTTAAGTATTAAATTGAAGGGTTGCGAGGAAAAATGCCCTAAGAGAGTCTTTTATTCTCTCTTTATTGCACAAAAGAACATGAGGTAAATTTTAAATGGTACAGCACCGCAGTGCTAACGCTGAGGCCATGGGTTCCAATCCCGTTGAAGTCCTGAAATGTTTTTCGGTTTTATTTTCAATTGCTTAAATTGCAATATTACCACTGCGATGATCATATCCTCATTTAAAATTTGTATTTCTGCAGTTTACATCATCTACAAGAATATGAGGTAGTTTGCAAGGACAATCTGCTCATAGTGCTTTATCAGAAAAACATTTCAGACACCCCTTCATTTGACATCCCCCATTTACTCCAAGTGGCTTTCACTATAAAAGTCCTTTTAGGCTGATTTGATCATACAACTCATGCCTACCTGTACATGGCCGCTAGCCTCCAGTGTTGTCAGCAGTTCATTCATTGGTACATCAATACTGAATTTTGCAGCATTTTCAAGGTCACTTCTAAGTTTCTTTGTGAAGCCAAGTGCTTTGGATGCCCTCTCCCTTGCCTCGTTGAACAGATGCTTAAATCCTCTGCATGCCTCTAGAACCTTGCGTCTGTAAAATAAAAAAATAAGATGGGATCACAACATATTATAACCTGGAAAACCCTTGTATATTCACTGTTAGTGGAATAAAGAAACATTTTAATACATAAACTGAAACTTAGCTGGATCAGATGGCTAGAATGTCTGCCTTCTTGACCAACCAAATACCACCAAACAGAAGGAAATAGAACAGAAAAATATGTCACATGTCAAAAATGTCAAATTTGAACGTTTCACATGGCCTTGCTCTCCAGGCAGCTCTCTAGATGGAACAACCCTTGAGTGCTTGGGAGGTAATACCTTCAAATCTTGTCAGAGACTCAATTTTTTTCAAGGGCACCCAACGTCAATTTTCGGAAAATATCTGTTCGGAAGACGATTTGAGATCTAGAATGTTCGGAACATTTGAGGTAAAATTTCTTGCTTGCTGGCCTCTCCTAGCATTTTCGAACATCTAAAAAATGGTATAATTGCCCATTTTTAACTGATTTTTACTTTAAAAAGGTCACCTGGAATTTTCGAGAGCCTTTTATCTGGCTGAAATTTCCGAAAAGGTAAGTTTTGATCCCTATAATTTTCGGATTACCAGACTTTCAGCTAGGAAATCCGAATAGACGAAAAACTTTTAGGGGATAAAAATATGCCTGAATCTACCGATTAAATACTAAAATACGTTTAACAATGCTATGTTAAGGTGGTTTTTTGAACTATATTCTCTTTGGGTGCCCCCGGTTTTTTTCTTTGTCCCATTCTTGTTACATGCTAATTGTCACATCCCTCAAATTCACTCACTGAGCTTAAAATCCATCATCTTTCTTTATTCCATACAGAAAACGTAAGTAATTTACAAGTCTAGTCTCTCAAAATATTTTTTCATTAAAGCCATGACATTACTGAGAAATATTGATTACCAAACCTTCCTTATAATACTACTGGGATTACTTAAAGTTGACAAAAGCACACATCTGTTCAAACAGGCTAGTAAAAGAACTCTGTTTGGAATGGAAAGCCATTACATTACATTTTAACGTTTTGCAAGAGTAGTCTCATAATATGTACCTGAGATCATCACTTTGATCTGTGTTGTTATGAAGATCTGAACAACTCTGATCCAACTCTGACTCCAAGAAATCACCAGTAGACTCCAACAATCCTGATGCCATCACACTGAAATGATTGATTGGCATACAAAGCACAATACATTTATTACAATCTTAATTTGGGATTTAAGTTAAGGTGATAATAGTAAAATTTATTATAATATTTTTTATTAATACTTATAAATGATTCCACTAATCAACAGCTTGTTTCTGCATTTTGCTGGTCTTCTGTGTTACTACATTGTTAGTAAATTACAGATATAGTCAGCTAATGCCATAAACCTTATGAGTGCCAAAAATGTGGTTGCACTGATCAGTGAGGGATCGTTTCAGTGAGGTTTTGAGATAAAGAAATCAATGAGAGCATTTAAAGAATGTGATTGAAAAATGGAGCTTCCACCATACAATACTGGACAATGAAACCCTAAATAAACCCTTGACTTGAGTAAGAGGAACATGTTTACAGTGACTTACATTTCAACAACCTTTGTGGTAGTCATTGTCAGAGTCAATGTAAGTTGTATCTCATCATTTGATGGTAAAAAAACTCTGGTTTTCAAATTGTCAGTTTGTCCAGTCATTCTACTATTGTCAGGTAGGCACTTGAGTCAATAATTCATTTATTAGTAGCAGGCAGTAGTCTGTCAGAATATGTACATGTAGTGCATGTTGCAGAGTTCCAGTGAATTTGATGTTTTGTCTGTAAATGGTGTTCAGTAATGGGACTGTTGACAACAATATTTCCAGTCACTTGCTAAGGTTTCTACCACTGAGTCTTTATAACAACAAACGTAAAGCATATGCCCTGATTGGTCAATTACCTATCTACTATTTGCCCATGGTTGACGAAAGCTAGTGAGCGCTCAAAGCCATATGTACCACTTTCTAAGCGACTTTATTTTTTTACCTCATAGTTTGCAAACTAAGATTTTTCTGTTAATACTGAACGAACGTTTACGAAGACTGTTAACGATAATGTAAAATTGCGATGGAGAACCAGTTATTCAGCAAAACGATTTTTTTCAAAAGAAAAGAACTTGCAAAGAATTATTTGTACACGCCATAGTGCGAGCAGATTACAGCACTCACATCATTCGGCCCTGTTATCTCTGAGTAAAATTAAAAGTTGTTCTCTTTTGATTATGTTATAAAACAAATGGTACACAGCTCAGCATGTACCTTTGAGTTATACATGTAGTCGCACTTGGGAGGATTGCTAGGTACTTAAGAAGCTAGAGTCACACTCTGCTATCACCTCGCGTGACTCTTATGCTTCTTTCGTGCTTAGCAACCTCCCATCTGCAACTATAACTCAGTGGTACACTGAGCCATCCACCATTTGTTAACTCATTAAATATATTGTTAGCCAGAATTTAGAGTCATGCTTGGTTTCTTTTCTGTTATTATTATGATATGTTTTTTTTCTTTTTTTCTTCTTTTTTTGTAATTGTTGCATAAAAAACTACAGTAATAATAAAAAAACCTGGCAACAGGTTGAAAAAAAAAGAATTTAGTGTCATAACGACCCCTGACTACATGTAGCTTCCCTCACCAAAATCTAGTTCCTCCTTCAACTTCTCCTCCCCTTATGTGCCGACAGTGCCTTTTCACAAAATTCCATTCTTCTTCAAGAAAGTTTTTGAGACCTTTAGAGGCCTGAGGAAGCCTCTGTACCAAGTGGATCACATTATGAAGGTAGTCAAAGTAAACCTAAAGACAAAAAGCAAATATTTACATGTCATATGAGTTCACATCTATTAAGCACCATTTTGGACAAATTTAGATAAAACTTCATCCCTGCCCTCCCCTGTAAGTAGGGAGTGTAAAACCTTTAGCCAGTAAATCCTGTGTCATCTAGAATTAATTGCCTCCTCATTTCTTATCTAATCTCCGTGCAAGTGAGACTTAATGCCGATATTAAGAGCGTTCTCGCTTCATAATAATATTTTATTCCTTTAACCTTGAATTTTTCAGGTATGCATGTGCGTACAGGAAGCTATGCCCCTTACATCATGTAAATACAGAGTAATGAGCAAACTGCTTATTTCCTTTCAAGACCAAGTTGCAAACCCCATTTAAAGAGGACAAAAAATAGAGAACTTCACTGCTTTCAGAGGAGTAGAATGATAATAAAGCAGCATCAATATGACATGTACCTGAAGGAGACTCTGAAGATCTTGCTCAAATCCTTCAATATCACTTTCGGTGTTTTCACTGCTAGAGTCTTCTAAGTTCACCACTCCATCAACAAGATAAAGGTAGTAGTCTTTAACTAAGACTCCACCCAATAATACATCTTTGCATTCTCTAAGGAGCTGCAGAGTAAATGTCAAGTAAACATTAACCATGAAGGCATAAATTGCAAAAGAATGTTATGGTACAATTTTATCCAACTCAGTGATTCTGTTACCTCTGCGTCCTTCGTCCCTGACACATAAAAATTCTTAAAGGCTCAAAATAATTCATGGCATGCATTCCGTAGGATGCAAAGATCAATNTATGATATGTTTTTTTTCTTTTTTTCTTCTTTTTTTGTAATTGTTGCATAAAAAACTACAGTAATAATAAAAAAACCTGGCAACAGGTTGAAAAAAAAAGAATTTAGTGTCATAACGACCCCTGACTACATGTAGCTTCCCTCACCAAAATCTAGTTCCTCCTTCAACTTCTCCTCCCCTTATGTGCCGACAGTGCCTTTTCACAAAATTCCATTCTTCTTCAAGAAAGTTTTTGAGACCTTTAGAGGCCTGAGGAAGCCTCTGTACCAAGTGGATCACATTATGAAGGTAGTCAAAGTAAACCTAACGACAAAAAGCAAATATTTACATGTCATATGAGTTCACATCTATTAAGCACCATTTTGGACAAATTTAGATAAAACTTCATCCCTGCCCTCCCCTGTAAGTAGGGAGTGTAAAACCTTTAGCCAGTAAATCCTGTGTCATCTAGAATTAATTGCCTCCTCATTTCTTATCTAATCTCTGTGCAAGTGAGACTTAATGCCGATATTAAGAGCGTTCTCGCTTCATAATAATATTTTATTCCTTTAACCTTGAATTTTTCAGGTATGCATGTGCGTACAGGAAGCTATGCCCCTTACATCATGTAAATACAGAGTAATGAGCAAACTGCTTATTTCCTTTCAAGACCAAGTTGCAAACCCCATTTAAAGAGGACAAAAAATAGAGAACTTCACTGCTTTCAGAGGAGTAGAATGATAATAAAGCAGCATCAATATGACATGTACCTGAAGGAGACTCTGAAGATCTTGCTCAAATCCTTCAATATCACTTTCGGTGTTTTCACTGCTAGAGTCTTCTAAGTTCACCACTCCATCAACAAGATAAAGGTAGTAGTCTTTAACTAAGACTCCACCCAATAATACATCTTTGCATTCTCTAAGGAGCTGCAGAGTAAATGTCAAGTAAACATTAACCATGAAGGCATAAATTGCAAAAGAATGTTATGGTACAATTTTATCCAACTCAGTGATTCTGTTACCTCTGCGTCCTTCGTCCCTGACACATAAAAATTCTTAAAGGCTCAAAATAATTCATGGCATGCATTCCGTAGGATGCAAAGATCAATAATTTATTGATCGACCTGAACACGTGTATTTGTAGAAATATCCGACCCATTTGAGTAATTTCTGTGTCAGTTATTGTAGCTGTTGTTTAACGATGCATATTTCTTTGAGTCTTTGTTGTGCTTTAAAACAGTAGGACTATATTTTAATTTCAGTATACTGTAATACAGAGTTTTTGAGTCTGTCTTCAGGTTAACTGTCTGGTTACAAAGAGGCCCAAGCATTTTCAATTTTTGTATTTTTTTTTTGAACTGGGACTCATTGGCTATGGACAGGGACTCATGATTTTTCACAAGATGAGTCCCAGGACTCACCATAACTATTCGTAACAAAATCGCTGCAGTGTAAATCTTATTTCAGTTTTGTTCATTGTTGGGTATGGTCATTAAATAATGGTAATATAAAGATAATACAGTGAGTTTAAAATAATGGGAAATAAGGGGCTACTCACACTTGGTGCCTGACAGCACAAAAATAATGGTAAATATTGTATTCACATCTTGGGTACCTGCTATGAACTATACATGTACACATAGTAATTGATTTCCCTTTTGCCCTGTCAAATGCCATTTTGAAATATGAACTTAGCAGGGAGTACAAAGCAGTGGATTACCCTGGCAGTAACAAAACAGGTTTGCACAGGGACCTGGTACTCACCTTACACTGTAGTGCCCATGGTTATCAAAAAGATTTTAAGTAGCAGGGTGATAATGAATAGTGGGTGGCTTTGGGACTTGCACCAAAGGCACAAGTTCTTGAGGGCCTAGGTATTTAGGTACATTTTGAACATTAATTTTAGACTCTCAGAAATGGCTATTTCCGGGGTTTTTCAAGAGCTATTTTCCACAGCAGGCACCATGTTGTTTTGTCAGAATACAGGCAGGACTGGGAACAATGCCGTTGAAATGTCCCAGGCGTTCCACGACATCGCACAGTTCGAACGTTTCACTGATCTAACCCTGTTTAAATATGCGTTCAATGTCATTCAAAACTGGGAAATGGATGCTTTACAATTTTATTCAATAGTGCTTATTTTTTGTTGGCAGTTATGGTAGAAGGAGATGAAAGTAGCCGGCTAAGGATGGCTAACTAGCCATCGGTTTTGGTCGGCCACTGTCCCATATTGACAGCCCTGAGTGCCCAAGGACGAGGGCTAGACCTTGTATTCCAGCACCAGCACCGTGTCTGAATTCTAGTGTGGCTACTTGAAAAAAGGGCACGTTGACATTATTTTACTACCCAGGGAGTACTTTACTGGGGCTCAGTGCCTAAGATAACTAACATACCTAGCTGCTGCATAAAAATTAGTATTCTGTACCTGTCTCACACTCAAAGAAGATGGCTCTCCTTTAGGACGATGTTGAAGCCTCAAACGCAAACATTCATGGATTATATCCAGGAGAACACGGCATAAGAACAGATACAATGAGCGGAAAGAAGGAAGGCCCCTTTGCTCAAGATCATTACCCAAGATTCGATCTCCTGGCTCACAACACATTGTACTGTGAGGATGACAGCTACAAGATAAATGTACGAAGTCCTCACTGCGTCCATTCAAAATTGCTTCCAGGTAGTTTATAGAAACTTTCCTGGGATTAAGTGCAACAATTTTACATTGGCATTCATCACCAACACAACATGTCACTGCAGGAGCTAATGCTTGCCTGGCTTTCATCATGCTAGTGTCCAAAATATCACCTAATCTCTTTCCAAGTTTTATCAAACCCATTTTCTTGATGCTTTTATCAGCAAAGGGTCTGTACCGCGATGTTGAGCTCCACACGAAGTTTGACATGTTGCTGCTTGTTCGCAATGGTCTTGCAGGTGTGCTTGTTTGTGACTCATGGGATAATGTTCTTTGCGGCGATGAGGGTTTGCTGATAGCTGACCCATCATTTTCATAAATATCTTGACCCTCCTCCTCCTCACCATCATCATCAAAATCTTCATCATCATCATCATCAGTAACTGGCCATGTTGCAGTGGCATCAAAATGGCTGTGATCTAAAACAGGGCACAAATTTTCTGGAAGAAAAAAGTGAAAGAATTCTCTTGAACAATCATGTCAACCAGGAATGTTTTTTAGAATATTTTTTGGCAAACCAGCGTGCAAAGAATCATCACAGGCTATCGGGCCCCGATCACCTAAAACGATAGCCCGATCACTTAAGACAAAAATTGAACGGGTTACCCGTTCACTACAAAAAACTTCTTAAGCTCATTGTCTTCTTGATACTTTAGTTAAGACCTAGTCAAAAAGTTTTTGGGGCTAGTTGAAATGACATCTGGGCTAGTAAATGTTAGCTTCAGCTTGCCCGAATTGCAAGCTGTAAAAATGATTTTCTTTGCACCCTGGGTAAACTGTCACAAAAGTTTAAAACAAAGAACAAAATCTGAGTCCACTAGAGGAGCAGAACCTGTGATCTCCCATGGTACTGGTCAGTTGAATACTCTACCCACTGAGAAATAGAGAAACCTATAGTTTGCTAAGGCTATGCCTGTATTGTTGTAAAATGATGAAAGAAGAAAAGTCAATGACAAGTTCTCAGAAAAAAAGAGAAAGATGTAAACCTTGTTATGTCACAGTGTAAGTGCTACATGAAGAAAATATTTTACCATTTTATGTGAAGTTAAACTCAAGTCAAGTTTATTTATGTAAAATATGCTTACTGGCTATTTGTGAGAAAACTTGCTAGCTACTTTGCAGGTACACACATTGAAAAATAGAAAATTAAAATGAATAGATAATTATGACTGAAACTGTATGAATGTATATGAAATAGCTAATTAAAGAGATCAAATGAATTTAAATTATACTAAAATAAAGCTAAAACTATTTACAATGCAAATATAGACTAGTATTAGTTGTAGGTTAATATTATAGTAAACCTGACAAGTCCAGTTTTCTAATAATATTTCTAAATGCCTTGAAAGATCGTATAGTTCTATATGAATCAGGTATTGAGTTCCACAGTTTTAGCGCTGTGGTTAGGACATCTCACCTGCACTGCAAGGCATTCCTGGTACAGGTGTAGGTGTATTAAAGAAGCAAATTTACAAAATTTACAAGGCCTATAGCTGGGACTTACGCTATTAAACTTCAGTGTTCAATCCTGCATGTTTGTGGTTCCACAGCCTTGTTGCTGTTTTCCAACTCTACCCATTCCCTCTCAGATAACTACAGTATATTAAATCTATGTGACAGTGTTAGTGGTGGTTGCCACTTATTGGGTTGTCATGGATACTTGAACATGTACTTAAGCACTTGGCTTGTATGTTCATGGTTCTGCCATCCTTAATGGCAACTAGGTACCAACCTCATCTATTGTTGATACTTATAACTTAGAAGGGAGCAAGTGCATCAGGTTTTCTTTACCAGGGATCATACACAAAACAGCAACCAGTTTTTGAGGACTTTTCAGGACCACATAAGATTTTCAAGGACTTCCTACCAGGAATGTAATTTCACAGATTGTAACAAAAATGCATTTACATTCCCAGTCCATTCTAACAGGACTTGAATGCTTGAACTGTTTGCTCCAACAACTTTCCTACACTTTTCAGTCCACTTCTCTTAAATTGAGAGTTAATTCTTGCGAAAACAAAAAAACGCTTTATGTAAATTCACCTTTACCTTCTCTAAGCTACGATTTATATTCTGTCTTGGATAACCAAAAAACAGTATAAAAACACTTTCAAGGCCCCTACACTCAAAGTTGAAGTAAATTCAAGGACTTGCACTGCAATTCAAGGACTTTTCAAGGGCCCCCCTTAAAATTCAAGGACTTTCAGGACTGTGTGAACCCTGTTTTCCTTTGGTTTTGATACAGTGTAGAGTAGAAAATCAATGTGCTTACTTTTGGATAATTCATGTGAGAAAAACATGACTGTCCCTTGTTTAAACAAGACTATTGCCAGTTTATATCTGAACATTTGAACAGATGCTTGTTTACACAGTCGACTCTTGGTAACTCGAACCCTCTATAACTCGAACCACCCACTAACTCGAAGCAATTTTCATTTCCCTTCAGATCATATTCAATATAATTTTTCCCTCGATAACTCGAACTCCCGATAACTCAAACTTTTTTCTATTTCCCTTGAAGGTTTGAATTATCAGGAGTCGACAGTACATGTAACACCAATTAACTTGTAAATAATGACTGTCATACTTGTAGCGCACTTACCTAACCTTCCTAGACCAATATCTAGCCAGTCCTTCCATGTTTCTGTGTCATTTAAATCCACACCGACAAACTTTGCCACCAAATGAAGCTTGTGATATAACTCACTTGTCACATTTAACCATAAACATAAAGTTTCAAAATTTCTGGTAAATTCTTCACTCCTGTACTTTGGATTTTGTTCGCCAAGAGACTTACAAGTTGGATAGAGATGTTCCACTCTTTCAACCTTGTCAAAAAGTTCTGTGACTTGCTCTATAGCGGTTTTTAGTTTACAACACGATCTGTCCTTCAATGTCTGGTTGCACTGGTGTATGCTTGGTTCTTTAGATAAAAGAATTGGACTTTCTTTATTCAAGTTCAACCACAACTTTCTCCTCACTGCTTTCATATCAGTAGAATTATTTGAAACAAAACTTTCATCACTGTCATTGGCCTTGGATGAAGTCAATTGCTCATTTTCTTGGGTTGTAGCATTTTCCTCTTCTTGAATGTCAAGTGAGGAATCTTTACCACCTGTTTGATTTCCTTCAGGATCCTTTTCAGAGTCATACGTAGAGGAACTGATGTGTGATTGCATCACAGAGCATGATTGACATGCTTCATTTGTTTCACTGTCATTGCTTCCATTCACATTTAAGTTATTGTCAGACTTTTCACTATCTCCATCTTGAGCAGTTGTATCACCAAAATCAGACAGAATCTCTGTGGCGTGATCTGGTTTTTTCACCTTAAAATTGATGACTTCATCCAACACCTTTTCTACTTCAGCACGTGCCCTCACCAAATGCATATCTTGTTCGTCCATCGTCCTGTTAGCATGCCAAGCTTGAAGCTCCAGCCAAAGTGCCTGTGATAATTCCACCTGCCATTTTTTGTTTTCCTCTGAGTTCTGCCTCTCCGCAGTATTGCCAACTACTTGCTGTTTTTGACTATCCTGTTGATTATGAGCTAGGGAGCCAAGCTTTATCAGCAGAGAAAATGTTCTGTAAAATTCCATTCTTGTCTCTGGGCAATGCGGATTGAGGTAACTTCGGGATTTTGAGCTGCGAGGATCAGATTCCGAGCGTGTAGCTCTGGGATGGCTCCGGGACATCGTCTGCTTCATCGGAATGCCTCCAGTGCCCTTGTCGTCAGGACTTCCGTCTGTTGTTTCTTCGCAAACGCAGTCCAGAGACATGAATCGACTTGTTGATTCGATCTTAATGCTTGGAATTTCTAAGGATTTTGCACAATCTGGCAAACGAACCCCGCTATCAAAGCTTACATTGAAAGGCACGTCAACGCTGCCTCTCTTCAGCTTTCTCTGGAAAGCACGCTCTGTGGTCAGTTGGGTCGAGCCGCGCTTTATCCGTCTGTGCAGCTCCGCTTTTTCAGATGAATTAGGTCCGCATTCACGACCGAAAGAGTTCTTTAAAAAGCTTTGAACCTTTTCTTTTCCCTTTCTTGACCTTTCCTTTTGCCGTCTAACATCTCTTGGCGGAGTAACTCCGTAGGAATAGCCTTCCAGGCTGGGAAACCCGTCCGAATGTTCGTTTTCTGAAGACAACAATTCGACGTGCTCTTCTCGCTCGGAGTCGAATTCTGAACCAGATCCCTTGTCATCTACATGATTTTGTTCATCTGTTATACCAATATCGCTTTCAAACAGTTCAGCTAGGTCGATATCATCGCAAGGAGAACCGGTGATTTGCTCTAACCCGTTCAAGTTGTCTTCCTCCGCCATTTTGTTTGTCCGTCATAGATGTCAGTTCCCAGTCTACCACAGGTTGACGCACGGGCAGACGCACGGGCGTTCTCAGGACCCCTCCCTCCCACCCAACGAAAAGACTTTTGGGGTTGTCGGGGTTGGGGCAATGAAACGAATGAACCAATGCAGCAATGCAAGTGTTTGGAAGTGTTTGGGCATTTGTACACTCCTTTTGTGACCCCTATTTCAATTTTCCTTACGAGTAAGTGCGTTATTTCTTACGGTACAGTCCAAGAGCTCATCCGCTTCTTCACATCCAGTCATGCCTTCTATCTGACTTCCAGCAAAAGACGGTCTGCTAACTCATCAGCTGCCAGTAAGCTTATTATAAACTTTATGCAATTTTGTCAGCAATGGAAGTGTTCATATTTTATAAGGCAAGCTGACAAACGGAAAGAGCTGTCGTAGAAGAATGTGCAGTAGTTACCAGAACTGTCTTGAAAATTTCACGGTTAGTTGGATTCTGTGGATTCGAGCATTCAGGTATACCATAGTCTGGTACAGTTTTCATGAGTTTTAAATATTTAAACCCGTTTAAAAAAATTCAAACCAAAGAAACAATTTGAACTACAAGAAATTAGACGTGCCAAAATTTTCCTACCCCCCAAAATCCTGAAATCGAAAATTTCAAACCCAAAAATCTGGAGTAACCCCCCTTGGGGGGGGGGGGGCCCTAAAAAAAAATGGGGGGTTTAGGGTGTATTTTTTTTAGGGGGATTTCCCCTCCGCCCCCCCCCCCCCCCCTTAACACCCCCCCCTTTAAAGGCCCCACCCCCCGACACCCCCCCCCCCCCCAACAAAAAACCAACCCAAACAAACACCCCTCACATTAATACCCCTTTGAAAATTTGCGGTTTAATGGGTTTTTGTGGATTCGAGCATTAGGGTATACCATGTTCGGGAAAATGTTTTATAATTTTTAAAAATTTAAACCCTTTAAAAAAAATTCAAAACAAAAAAAAAATTTAACCAACAAAAAATAAGCGGGCCCAAAATTTTGTATCCCCCCCAAAACCCGAAAACGGAAAATTTAAAACCCAAAAAACCGGGGAACCCCCCCTGGGGGGGGGGGGGGGGCGCTTAAAATAAATCGGAGGTTTACGGTGTATATTTTTTAGGGGTAGTTCCCCTCTGCACCCTCCTCCCCACTTATAAGCCTCCCCATTTAAAGGTCCAACTACCTGTAACCCCCCCCCCCAAAAATCCTTCTATAATAAGCTCCAGCAGTATAAGTCCTCCTCTGGGATCCTCTAGCTTGTATCGAAATGAATGCAACTTTTTACCACGTTTTAAGCTAAAAAAGTGAGTAAATTCAAAGGTATGTATTGTTTATGCATTGTTTTGAAATGCTCTTTTAGACTGGTAATAAGAACCCTGTTTATAAGCCCTCCTAGCTAAAATCCCTTATGAAATTGTATAAGCCCAAGGCTATAATATAACCGGAAGTTTGGTATGTATTGTAAGGACTGTATCAGAAGTGGCTTCGGGGGTTCCATGCTAGTCATGATGAGTGTTAGAGAAAAAAACAAGAAAGGTTAATATTTAGCTTTCAATTAACTGTTCAATAGAAAGCAAGAGGTGTGTGAACAAGTAAAGGCATATTTGGTAGTGGCTCATCAGTCAAGGTTAGCATCTTAAAGAAAAGTATATGCATGTATTAGTTGGCTGGTGCCTTGGTTTCAGGTGAGAGGAGGTAAGAGCTAGTCCTAATCAATGAGAAAGGTATATGTTGTAGAGGCCCTTTGCAGCTCAGTTAAAGGTCAGTCAAGGTAGAAGTCTTAAAGAAGGAGAAAGGAATCTGTATTAATGGCTTGGTGGCTGGGTGTCATATGTCAATCGAGGAAAGAGTCTCAAAGAATGAGAAGGGTATAATTATGTTTTGGCAGCTCAGTGGCTGTTCAATCATGAATGGCAAGCTGCCAAGCTAGTTAAACCATAAGGTCATTTTATTTCAAAGGCGAGCTACTGAACTATCCCATTAAATATACCTAGAATAATAGTTGGCCTTGCATTCTATGGTTATATCATCATATTATACCCTTCCATTGCATTCTCTAGGGAGTGGTTTGAAGAGGCAGGGTAGTAGGGTTATCCTTAGGGGGGCACTCAAGGGAAGTCTGGGTAAAACACTCATGCCGCCAAGGCCTTCAAACAGCCCGACCCTGCTGTTTAAGACAAAAATTGCTCATTTCGCTACCCTGTTTAAGACAGGAGACACTACTTTCTGACCCTAATTTGTTTTGTTTTGCATACAGAATTAAGTAATTTTCCACACTAAAATCGTGGAAAAATATATTTAGGAAAAAAATTATTGGTGTTTGCTAATGTAGACTGCTCATAGCAAGTCTTAATACTCTTTGACCGTGGCAGGATTAGCTAAGTTGGCAGTCAGGGACTGTCAGAAATTAGCAGGGGGGGATGGAGGGTGAAAACAGAGGGAGGGTCACAACTTTTTGAGACTCAGAAAAGGGAGGGGTCATGAAAAATGGGTTGTTAAAAGGGGAAGGGTCATGCAAATATATGCCTGTGATCATATAGAGGTTCACCCACAGAAGAAAAAGGAAGTTCTTCATTTGGTAAAAAAACCTGGGAGAAATAGGAGAGTCGAGTGATCAGCTGTCAGAATCAGAGTCGGACTCTTAATGCTGTCATCTAAAATGTATGTATATAGCATTACAAAGAACAGATTAGAAATATATTTTGAGTTTTCATAATACTGACTCACCCTACTGTTTTGCAAGAACTAGATTTTATCATTTATACAAGAGGGGGAGGGTCATGATATTTTAGGCCAAGCTCAAGGGGAGGGTTAGCAAATTTCACTCCCATTGCAGGGATGGGTCACCTCATTTCCGAACCCAATTTAAAATTCCCACCCCCTCTCCCTCCCTGCTAATTTCTGACAAGTCCCTCAGCACTTGACTGCAGAGCGGGGGGTCGTGGGTTTGATTCCCGGGACTGGACCAATACTCAGGTTAATATAACTGAGCATTGACTGTACTACCTTAATGGCTGGACCTTTGCCTGGCTCAGATGACCACATAAATGGCAGTCCCGTCACCAATAGGAGACGTAAAAATAGTGTCCCCAATTAGTGCTTTAGTGCTAAAATATACATTGACATTCAAACAAAGTGCATTTTTTTTTGAAAGGCTTCCAGTCCAGCTTCCATACAGTCCAAAAAGACACCCTGTTCAAGATGCTTAATAGTGAAATTGTATACCATGTTTATGACTCAAGACTCTGAAAACCATACCCTGTTCAGTGGCACATACCCATATAGGCCAAATAATGGAGTGCCCCCCACCCACCCCCGGGCGGGTTATCCTAGATACCAGACTGGTATAGTAATTATAGATTATAGAGTGCTCAAGACTTTCTCTTAGTGTTTTAGGCTAGAGTAGCTTTTGACTGGATATGCACTTAAATGCCACAGAGTCAATTTGCTGATATCTCGAAAAGCAGAACTTTCCTATATTTTTACATGTATGTTTCGTTGTGTGTTTGAAGCCACATATTTTAAAATATACCAGTGTTGGCAATGAAGTCTTGGAATAATACAGCTGTGCCACTTACCTCTGTCTCCTCTTTGGTACTGGGTTTCTACTTAACAAACTGCATGTGCTTTGTCCCTAGGTTTACCATGAGAATGTACTTTTATTTGGTGGTTTCAGGATCGATTTTCATGGCCTTGAGTAAGTAACACAACAGGGAAATTCTGTACTTGAATCAAAGTAATCTGAGCTTCTCTTCTCCTCTTAAGTTCGTCCCTGCAAACTCATTTTTTTACCACTGCGAGGTTACTGGAAAACTGACATGAGTTTCAGAGAAAACTACAAGAGTGCCTGATACAGCAGTTGCAATAAATTATAGCTAATTTAATCGGACATATTCAGTAATTTGAACATAGCCAGTGCTGAACTTTGTTCATCTGGACCTTTAGTACCCAGTACAGTGTTATACCACACCAGATATATTTTTCTGTTTCTGTTAGAAATCATCAGGATTGAGAAACAAATCAGTAGGTTTCTGAAATAAATTTTCTGGACCTTCAGGTCTAAGGTTTTAGGGTTTAGAATAGTATTAAGGTTTAGCTATAACCAGTACATATGTATATGTATAAGCAGAAACTGAGAGAAACTTACAGGCTAAAAAAAGCAAGTTTTTCTTGACTAGCAGCATTAGTTTAGGAAGGATCATAGAATACAGTTCACTTGTGACATATGGTATTAATATTATAAAGGAATCGCATGTTGTTGGAGAAAAATATAGTAGTCTTTACTCTTTGTCTGTTTTGCAAACATTCATGGTGGCCTGCCAAAATGCAAAGTCCATTCTGTGCATGTTTGTGAAACTCTGTTTAATCAAATCAAACTAACAAGTAGTCCAGGATGCTTTTAAAAGGTCAGATCCTAAAGCATGTTTACATCATGACTTTGCCCCCTTCCCCAGGAAGAAAAGAAAAATTATAGTAAAAGCTTCAACAGGATTTTTATGATAATATATTTATCCCTGACACTTTGACCTTGTAAACCATATTGTCAAGTTATTAATAACAGTTGCATCACATGTCACTGCATGCAAGAGCTGGTGCATGTGCAAAAGTTATAGCTGGATTACCTCATCCCTATAAATGTTGTCCAAGGTCAAGTTAGTTATCGTTGTCATAAGGATAAAAATAATCCTGGGCTGATATTTGGATGATCATGATATTCTGCATGAATTAACTTCAGGATTTTGATCATGTAAAGCCCTGCATAGCAGACTTGAAGTGCTTTAACTTTTTCCCCTGGAATATTTTAATGGTCATATTTAGGTTGGAACCTTTATACACTGACAAAATTCTCACCATATTTCTTTTTAACATTGAAATTTATTACATCCTTTTTCAGTCTTGTATTTTTGGAAATTACTATTTTTCTACTACTCTGTCATTGCTATAAAATCTATTTTATAATCTCCTTAATTACAACATTAAGGCAAGAAATCCTAAAAGGTCTTTAAATAAATTTCCATTCTTCTCTGCTTGTATAATAGAAATCTATGTACAATTATATTTCTTTCACCATCCATTTTGAACTGAAATTGTTCATGGATGACTTAAGTTATCATTATATTTTTTATATACATCGAATCAATCCTTCTACCATATATTAATCATTGACAGTTTGTTTGAAGTAATTAAAAAATACAGTCCATGAATATATTTGCAAGACCAATCTTCAATTCAATAAGTTTTCATTGAGAGAGAATAGGAAACTCTCTATTCTCTCTAACATTTCACTAAAAAAACTCACGAGTTTAATACTGGATAAGTATCATAAAAGATATTAAAATATATTTAAAACAAAAAGAAATAGTCAAAATAGCAGAAAAAGGTTTCAAACTGGTTTTTCCCAGAGCTCTGAATTTTAATAAAAAATCTCAGAGAAATTTACTGACTAGATTATGCTGTCTTCGAGAAATACTGTAATTTCATTTTACGACTCCTTACAAATTCGCTTATTGTTAATCCCCATGGAAACTTGATAAATACATTTATCTTGTATTTGCTCTGAATCTTTAAAAAAGCCACTTTAGGATGAGAAAGCAGTTTTGACTAATGGGAATTTTCAAAACATAAGCCCCTGGTCACGGAAGTACGTTTTCAGTGAACGATAAACAAATAAATAATCGCAAAATATGCAAAAGTTGCTTTCTCGAATCCTTATAAGGATAAAAAAATAGAAGTTTTGCGATAACTGGTGAAACACTATTTCTGGCTAACAAGCGAAGTGCGTAGGTCGCTTTTGTAATGAGTCGTAAATGAAATTTGCAAATTTATGCTAATTGTATCGCCGTGACGGCTTTCAAAATACACCAACATACACGGAATTTCAACACGAACTGGTCAAATCCTGTTGACCTCAATTTTTTTCCAAATGCGGAAATACAATTCCCACATCAATTTCTATCAAAATAATTTAGAGAATTCTTTGGAAAAATAAATAACAACGTAGTATAGTAATCAGAGGAGATTTAGGCGCTATGAGTCTAGTATGAACAAATAAAATACTGTACAATGTTTTGGACAAGTTCCGCTCTTGCTCAGTACAAACTCACGTGCTTTCGATGTCTTTTAGTGTTTTTAAAACTTGCTGCGCACTGGGCCTGTCGATCGGGCTTGCTTGCCACAAGGATTTCATGAGTCCAATATAAGCGCCAGTAGCATTTTCGTTTGACGCACTTGGCGGTAAATTTTCGAGAGTTGGGCGCAAATGGTGCGCAACAACTCCAAAAATAACGACAAAGTGGCTCTCTAGTCCGTAAGGTTGCTCGCGAGTTAGCATTTGCCATAGGCAGATCCCAAGCGAATACATGTCCGCTTTACTGCTTGGAAGGTCCCCTTTTAAAAGTTCCGGAGCTCTGTACGCAAAAGTTCCTGTGAGTAGGCTTCTCGGGCTGGGCGAGGGACTGGGTGGAAGTGAGAGTTCTTCCTTTGCCGTGAGTTCTATACTTTGACAGCACCCAAAATCGCCCAGTTTGCACAGATCGTTGCTATTTACGATTACGTTTGCAGGTTTTAAGTCTAGATGTACAAGACTGTTCTCGTGGACGAATTTCAAGGCACAGGCAATGTCACGAATAAATTGACAGCGACGTGTGTTGTCCAATATTTCTCGGTCATCGTCAATAATAGACTGTAGGGTGCGATGTCCGGCATATTCCATCAGAATCCACACATCTTCCAAGTTTTCACGCTCAAGAACAGCAAAAGTCCGCACAATGTTCGGATGCTTCAAAGGCAGAACTAATTTTTCAGCTTGGACAGTTTCGTAGAGCGCATGAGGATTTTTTACGTTTTTGTGCATTTTTTTGACAGCAAGTTTTTTGCCCTCCAAACTTGCCTCAAAAACTGTTCCAAATCCTCCAGACCCTAGTGTTCGGCCTATTTCACAGACCGAGTTTGGAATCATTTCCTTGCTGTTTTTTTCCGAGGCGATCCACAAGGTTTCGTTCGTGTTCCTGCTAAGCTCAAACTTGTTTGTTTTGCACGAAAAGTTCGTTGAACCCAAACAAATGCAACGGCTGTATTGAAGAGGTTTCTCAGTGAAACTCATTTCTTCCAAATCTGCTTCTTGAAATTTGTCGAGCATGTTTTCCTGCTCAAAAAGAGGAAAACGATTCGTTGGTTAGATTCTGCTTCTCTCCAAGTACCTTGTACCGCGCGCAAATGACTTTCTTATGACCGAGTGCCAGTGAAGTAGGCTCTTATAAACAGTGTCAGAGTTTTATCACGAGCGCCAAAGCCGCAAAGAAGATCTCGTTCCTGATTGGGTGCACGAAATCTGTATCGCAGTGTTAACCAATGAGAACGCGTTCTGGAAAGTTTCCGGTCTATACCCAAACGTGACTTGAGGACATGATTCTGCCACGCGAGCTTCAAGGGCAAAAGCGGTGAACGTGTTGAATTACGTTCCTATTTTGTCCGGTTCAGCTCTGCTTCCGAATTCGTCAGACAGCAGGATTAAAAACAATCCAAACAAAATTGGGGAAGTATTTCACTGTGATGTTTTACTTTCCCCACTCCATGTCTATAATTAGATGTGCCATTAGCGAGAGAATATTTATGAAATGATTCTGCAAAAACAGCTCCCGACCGCTTGTAAACTACTTCCTTTTTTGTCAACAAATATAAGAAATGATTTCAAATTATTTGGCAAGAAATCACAAAGCTGAACACTGCTAAATATTTGCTATTACAATTTATCGCAAGCGAACCGTAGCGTATATCAATAAAAATAGTAGTATTACGGAATATTGGGAAATGCCAATATATTGCAACTAAATATAAACGCAAGCCGGATGGACGAATGTTTCAGGGGAAAAAACGTTTCGACGCGAAAAAAAGGTTTCTTAATGCGTCAGGGGTACATGAATATGTAAATAAAATATTTCTTTATTTGATCGTCTTTGTACATCCGGTAGAGCTATAAGAGGGTTAAGCGCGAAGGGAAATTCCCGCTTGAACTCTTCCTGACGTTGACAGGCGTTGAGTAGGGAAGCAAGAAATATCCCCTGCAAAATTACCACCATTCTGCTTTTTAAGTTAAAGTTGATGAAAAATTTGAGCTCCACGCTAATCGGTTGACTGCCCAAACTTGCTCTTCTGAGGCCTTAGCTAAAGCACAGCAAACCTGCTTGTTCAAGGACTTCGATCAGTCGGTCACACGATCTCCGTGCGAGAAGTAATTGAAATTGGCCAAAATGTGGCGTAAGTTGCAGATCTACCTTGTGTTATTCGATGAAAACTCGAAAGCAGTTCCTAAAACACGTGAAGTAGATAAAGGAAGAGCTGCTTTATACATTTATATTTATTTGTTGCAGCTTATTGGTCATGTTTGTGTGCGATTGCGTGACAACTTTTGACCGGGAACGGAAATGACTGCTCAAACAGAAGATTTCGTGACATCAATTCGAATGCGCAAAAGCTATACCAATAGATTTTATTTCTTCCCACTGGCGTTTACATTTAGCCAGTTTGCTTAATTTGTACTATTGGGAGGTTTTTAGTTAGGGAAAAGTGTATCGTGGCCGAAAACGCGCACATCGCATGCCTTGCACGAGTGCATGCACCGAGAGGCATTTTAGGTGGATTACGTAAACCAACGTAAGACATGGTATAGTTTACATTAATCTCAGCATATTTTGAGACCAGCTGATCATCCTAGGTTTTCGACACTTTTACAAGAAGAGTTTGAAAAACTATCCGTAATACAAGTATTTCACTTCTCCAGAGTATTTGGGGGTTTACTTTTGATAATGTTATATAGTTTCTTTCTTCTCGGTCACCTTTTTTTGAAAGAAGAAACTTACACAAAATCAATTAACCCTGTTCGCGTGACTCGCACGCCTCAAAGCACGCGTATACATTCCCAGTTAGTTCTTGCACGGGTTTGACAATCAGAGAATCTAGGAGGACAATTTGAAAGAATTTACTAAGCCAAAAAAAGAAAGAAAGGTTCAAAACTGTTGTATCACTTTGTGCGAGTTTCATTGCTCGCTGTCACGAATTCTTTCTTCTAGAAATCATCATCTGGGATAGACTGGGCTGCGGGTCATTTCCGGTCCCCGGAGCCGAGACTAGACTCATGATATTAAGATTACTATCTAGCTCCCTTTAGACATGTGCAAACGTTTGTTAATCGCCATTGTTCTTTAAATACTATTTGGCACTTTAAAAGAATAAAATCTGGTTTTCTTCGCCTTGAAGAAAGAAATTCGGGGTCATGAAATCTGTACTTGCGAACACAGTACACATGACTTAACCCATGTTTAGTCAGAGTAAGTGACTCTTAACCCTGGACCGCGTGAGTCACCTGGTACCTAGCGAGTCAACATTTTAATTGAAATTGCGTGCACCAGCACATGACATTATTTTGCGAGCTTGCAAAAACAGAATAACTTGAAATTTGAATTTTGGGATAACTGTCAGCATGATTTGCAAACGCTTGAGCTAATGTTGACCTCGCCAGTCACGAGAGCTTCTTCAAGTACGAATTGTATCATGAATGTTCAATTTTTTTCCGGTCTCGGAATCCCCCTCAAGCAATTAATCATTAACTAGAAATCAACATCTCTTGCTCTGAGACTTGAATAAGAAAGCATACATCATAAAACTAATGGCGACGTGCAAGCGAGAGTAAAATCGTTCGATTATTAATATTTCGCTATTTCGAAGCATTTTGTTTTCACTGAGGTTAGAGAATTTAACTTTGGTTTGCCCGCTCCTTCGTGTCACCTCATCACGTTGTTTGTGTATGAAACGCATTAACACGCACTTACATAACGCTAAACCGCGTGACTCATAATACTGCGTGCGGTAACTCATGATCGAGCTCATCTGAATTTATGCACGTGCATTGCACTTTTCTTCTATCCCCAGATTCCCGGAATCAGGTAAACGTTTATATAAAAAGTATATATATAAATGCCTTTGATACTGTAAGTGAAACTTGTCTTTAAACTCTGCTGCAAGTTCGTGACAAACTAAACGCTTCATTTTCTTAAAAAGCTGAAAAATGTTAACCATCTTTAAAAATTAAATCAATTTGTAGGGGCAGCAGTCTGAGAGCCCAACAGCTAGGCGGAAGAAAACAACATGGTCAGATTAAAACATGTTTCATCTCCTAGCTTACAGTGCTGCTCCTGGCATTTCAAGAACTGACACATCAAGTGCCAGCTGGAGGAAGACAAGCACCGTAGATCACGCTCAGGGCAGGCTGAAACCCCTCCATCTATCTCTCGTAATTTTTTAATTTTTTTTGTATATCAGTTATATAGATATAATTTGCCTGGCATTGAAGGGCAAGATCTCGTGGCTAACATATGGGGCTTAGTTAGGGGATGGTAATTCGGTTTGAGTATAACCTGAGATAAGGCCCAGGAAAATAGAGCCTGATAAAAAAAGATCAAGAATTGACTTAATCAATCACCCATGCCGGGTCTCGCCGTATATTTGCGTAAATTTAGCCTGCGCGTCTCCTCTCGCGTGCCTCTCGCGCGTGTACTTTTCACGATATCCCCCAAATGGAGAGCTTGCTCGCAGGCTAGCGTAAATTGAACACAGCCGACACAGGTCGGTCCCTTTTGAGTGACAGCTGTAGATAATTATGCAATCTTACCTCATTAGCATCTCTCATCAAGCTCAAAATATGTCATACCCGAATCATTTTGGGTGCGATATACTAAAAATAATTTTTAGGTAAACCATATAGGGTCATAAGCGCTTATGCCATTCTCGCTGATCCTAGACTAAGTCCCGCAACCACTACCTTGACTCTTAAATGCACGCGAAGAGCTGAAGTGTCTACGCTTTAAGTTTATTCTGGCTCTTCAGAAGGCCCTTTTTTTATTTTATGACGCGATCCTGTTTCCCAGCTCTCGAGAGGGGATGAGCAACCTTGAACTTCTTTGATAAGTTCTATGCCAATGTAGCCAAATATTTATCCGGTGACGCAGTAAGGATGTGTTTAATAATTTAGCATATTAAATGTCAAATCTTTTTTCTTGATAATTTTAAACTCGCGAAGGCGCGAATGTAGCGAAAATTATAACAGGTGTAGGTGTCAATCAGTAAAATTTCACCGTAAGGAGAAATTAAAAAGAATAACCTTTTTAATACGCATGTAAAAATTTATTTTGCTATTGTCAAAAATAATTTTCGTATAAGACATTTCGATCTCGTCCGCGGTCATCTTAACAACATCGGGAAACTTCGTCCTCGAAGCTGTGATAGAAAAAAGTAGTGCATGTTTTTCAAAAGCCTTTGAAAACCTTATGATTTGTGCGATTTTCTCGTAGCTATTTTGGGTTACCTACTACCTCAATTAAATTTGTATTTTTAAGTTGAAACGAGAGCCACAAACTTTTTATTATTANTTTATGACGCGATCCTGTTTCCCAGCTCTCGAGAGGGGATGAGCAACCTTGAACTTCTTTGATAAGTTCTATGCCAATGTAGCCAAATATTTATCCGGTGACGCAGTAAGGATGTGTTTAATAATTTAGCATATTAAATGTCAAATCTTTTTTCTTGATAATTTTAAACTCGCGAAGGCGCGAATGTAGCGAAAATTATAACAGGTGTAGGTGTCAATCAGTAAAATTTCACCGTAAGGAGAAATTAAAAAGAATAACCTTTTTAATACGCATGTAAAAATTTATTTTGCTATTGTCAAAAATAATTTTCGTATAAGACATTTCGATCTCGTCCGCGGTCATCTTAACAACATCGGGAAACTTCGTCCTCGAAGCTGTGATAGAAAAAAGTAGTGCATGTTTTTCAAAAGCCTTTGAAAACCTTATGATTTGTGCGATTTTCTCGTAGCTATTTTGGGTTACCTACTACCTCAATTAAATTTGTATTTTTAAGTTGAAACGAGAGCCACAAACTTTTTATTATTAGCATAGCATTCGGTTCCTGCGTACGTGCACTTTATTCTTGAGATCTATTTTACTTTTCTGCGCCGTTTACGAGCCCGTGACGTATCTAGTCACGTAGCGTACAACGCAAACTAAGGTTAAGCGATTTATTTCGACAATCGTATGAGGTTATCTCTTATGGAAAAAATTGTGTTGAGGGTCTTATTTCATAAATTCAGTCGATTCTTGGTTAGCAAAGGAAAACTAGCGAATTTGTCTCCATTTTCCCCCGATTTTTTTGATTTAGAGTTTACCATTTCAAACCAAAGACTTCCAAATTTGGTTTCTGAATAATTATACACTTTAATTTTGCACCCGTGGAAATATTGACTGACTGCTATTTCTGACTTAGCAATATTATTTTTGAACTGATGTCTAGATTATTTAAATATGATTGCCCAAATTCGTTTATGTCAATTCATGCCAAGTCGCTTTAAAACTGCGTCACGTTTGCGTACACTTTTACGTCTGCGGGCCATTACAGCTCGTCAGTGCTCTTTCAATAACTGAAGTAAAAACTACTGACAGGTTCCTCAACTGCCCACGTGATTATTTTTAGCACATCTATTCGTTCTGGTCCTGCAAACACAGCGGGCTCTGAAAATAGTATTACAGCTGAAAAGCCAACAAAAAAAATTAGCCTGCGTAGGAGTAGGGGATGGGGGGGGGGGAAGGGGAGAGGGATTGGGGAGAGAGAGAGCTCCCTTCCCTCTTCCCTTTCTCCCTCCCCCTCCAAGCTAAAAAAAAAAAGAATAGAATTTCCGGCCTTTTTTGTCTAGCCTGCCTCTCTCTCTCCCCAATCCCCCTCCCCTTTCCCCCCTTCCTCCCTATCCCCTACCCCTTTCGACACCTGCTACACAGGCTATTTTTTGTCCTCATGTATTTCTGTGGCATGATAGCAGTAAGGACTCGGGCGGTTTCAGTTGAAGTGACGCATGAGTAGAGTAGCCCTGTTACCCGGGCTGGCCACGATAAATTTCTCGAGCCGAGATATCGGCAAGCGCGAAGCGGGTCAGGGGTCAGCCTGCCTTCTCTTTTTAGCCTGTTCCAGGCTCTCAAATAGTGGGAAGACGCGCAAGTGAAAGGTAGGTGATTCGCGCTTTCTCAATCCTTGGGGACCCCACTATCTCGGAGCCTGCGCCGGGCTACCTCTTATAAACAAGGCAACAATTTGGGAAACTATATCCTGGATAGGCATGAGCCGAGGTAGCCTGATAAATCGGGCCAGTCAAACTATCAGGGCTGGCTCACTATATAAAACAGCCAGTTGCCAGGTTCTAAGTGTCCGAGATGCCCAGCTTGTAACCACACTTCAGGTCTTTATCAGGAGCCCATCAATGATGGGCTCCTGTCTTTATTTATTTATCATTACTTTGGTAATTCTCGCTCACAACTACCTAGCTAGCTATCCTTATGAGATGAGGGGCGAATTTTCATTCAACATAAGTGTGTGTTCCCCTCTACCTAAAAACGCAACTACGTCCCAAGGAATTCTCGGTTGCTGTCACTTTTCCTGGCGATTACACTGTATTGTTTATGTCATTTTCCCGATATCGCAAACCTCTTCCAAATTTGGTCAATGCCAGCTGGTTATGGAGAATTAGCCATGGGATTTGAGCTTATCAGAAGCGGAGAAATATTTTAAGTGCATGATAATAAATTTAACAGTGAAAGATTAAGGGGGCCTGGACCGCAATCCACATAACCACCCTATCAAATAAAATGATAATGACAATGACGATTCACAAGCTTAAAACTCATTCATGCTCTTATAGCCTGCGAATACTGTTGTCTCTCCTCGCTCCTCGCCGTAACGAAATCATCCCTAGCGCTCAGGTAAATCAAGGCATTGGCCTCAATTGGCCTCAATCTGCTCACTTCAAAAGTGAGGGGGTGGCCTAGATCTAAGAGCTTTAGATGTAGACGTAGAAAACTTTCTCTCGCACAGGTTGTCGAAACGTCAGTCACTGTCAACAACTACAGTCCTATTCAGGACTACGTTCACCCGGACGATCAAACTCAACTTACTTTTGAAATGACTCCTGGGTTCAAACCTTTCACAGTATTATAGGAAACTTTGCCAGCTGCACATTTTTAGTTTGTGCCAATTTCGTGCTTTAAAATTCAGTATGCAAAATTAGGTCACGTGACCTCCACAGTTTGAAAAAGCTTGTTCTTGAAACATTGAAAAAACCGCTTATTTTTTAAACCAGTAAAAAATTCAAAAAAGGCCAAGCACAGTTTTTTAGATGCTTGCATTACACATTGCCTAAACCAGTACGGTTTAATAACTCACATTAAAAAGTGTTGTATTTTTTGTTTAAAGATCTTTAATTGTTTTCTGGCCGTGTGGAGTCACATGACAACATTTGCATAATTGAAAAACACCAAATTGACAGAAACCGCACATGTATGTATCTGGCAAAGTCTCATCTTTCTAGTGCTTTTAAAGTGCTCAGGGATAGACCACTCTCTATCACTTTTTGACTGAATCATTGGGGGCCCATGCCTTAATTTACCTGAGCGGCGAGAAGCGAGAAGAGACGGCTATATTTGTAGGCTAATACTCTTATAATAAGACTGTTACTTGTGTTCCAGATCAGAACTAAAGTTCAGTTTTTTTAACTAAATGCTTTGCATTTTGTTTCTGGTAAGCCTCCCTGGAATTCACATTTGGAAATGGCTGCTCGGGCTGTGAAACATCTAAAAACTTACATAGAGGATCCCAACCCTCTTTAACGTTGAAAACTAACAAATTTTCCTCCTTGACATTCCTTTTCACTTCTTCATTCCAATCTAAATAAAACTTCCGTAAATCAGTTTCTGGTTCTTCTGGGTCAACACCATGAACTTTCGTCACACAAGCGTTAAAGGAATGGGAAAATTCTTGCTGTGCTGAATTGGAATCAGATTCTTTAGTAGATTTGACGGGGAAAATTGTCGCTCGAACAGATTCAACCCACTTCTCAGGATTATCTCGCACAGTAAGAATCACTTTAGCATCAGGATTCNGATCAGAACTAAAGTTCAGTTTTTTTAACTAAATGCTTTGCATTTTGTTTCTGGTAAGCCTCCCTGGAATTCACATTTGGAAATGGCTGCTCGGGCTGTGAAACATCTAAAAACTTACATAGAGGATCCCAACCCTCTTTAACGTTGAAAACTAACAAATTTTCCTCCTTGACATTCCTTTTCACTTCTTCATTCCAATCTAAATAAAACTTCCGTAAATCAGTTTCTGGTTCTTCTGGGTCAACACCATGAACTTTCGTCACACAAGCGTTAAAGGAATGGGAAAATTCTTGCTGTGCTGAATTGGAATCAGATTCTTTAGTAGATTTGACGGGGAAAATTGTCGCTCGAACAGATTCAACCCACTTCTCAGGATTATCTCGCACAGTAAGAATCACTTTAGCATCAGGATTCCACTGAAGGAACTCTTTATAAAATAAACAGCCAGGGTAATCCGTAGTAGCCACATAACCCCTGAAGGCTTCTTTCAGTTTTTCACTCTTCTCCTCACTGCCGCTGAATATCTCTTTCCACATTAGGAAATGCTCTTGATTATCTGGGACTATTTCTGTCATATGATGGCAAGGTCCAAATCCTAAGAGAACAAGCGCTTGCTGCAGGGATTTAGTTCCAGTACGACCCAGTCCAGCGCCAATAACTTTCAGATCTGTCATGATCTAAATAGAAGGTAAAGGTAAAGAGGTCTTTATTTTAAGTCCTGGTAGTTTAAAATAAGCATCTTGATGTTTCAACTAATAAAGTTGAGGACAATGGTGCGCTCTTTTTAACTAATCCATTATTGCTTTGTTTTAAAAGTAATTCACAGCAAAGCTACTTAGGCTATGTATGTCCATACTAATGCGTTTTTAAAACTGAGCGTTTTCGTTGTCATCGTAAAGGCGTCGCTCTATTCGTGTCCACACTACCGTTTTGCTGCAGATTCGACTGTCCACACTCAAACGTTCAACAAAGGATGAAGTTGGACTTTATGACATAAGTTGAACTCTATGCACTTGCTACAAACTCACGTGCCTGCGATATTTTCGTTCATCGTTTTACTTTTTTGCTTTCATGCGACTGTTCCTTCACATCCATACCCCTCCTCGATGCCAACATCTCACTTCACAATGGCAAAATCGTCACTGACCTTTACACCAAACCTACAGACAAACATCAATACTTACTACATTCGTCAGTTATGTTATCCCATGCACACCAAACGTGCTATTCCTTTCAGTCTAGCTCCTAGACTCCGCCGCATTTGTTCAACCAATGAGATCTTCACACTACGCACCAATGGACTTATTGACTATCTTTACAAACTTGGCTATAACCGCTATTTCCTTCAACGGAAATACAGCGAGTTAACAACATCACACGGGCAGAAGCACTCGCGCCCCATGACACTTCAATACTGAACAAACCAGAACGTGTTCCCTTTTGTTACCACCTACAACCCAGCCCTTCGTTCCATCTCATCCATTATTCGCAAACAGTTTCACATCCTTATTTCATTCCCCCGTTGCTATAACGTCTTTAAAGCTGAACCCATTGTAACTTATAGACGTAGTAGTAACCTCAGTGATTTTCTAGTTAGGGCCAACTTCGCAATCTCACACAACTCAACCAGCCCCAGGGATCATACCCATGCGGAAAAAACTGCTTCACTTGTAAATACACATCTGACGGGCAAACATCATACATATTCCACGCTACAGGCGAAACCACACCTATCACTAATCACACTGACTGTAACTCTAAAATCGTCATTTTCATGATACAATGCAACCACTGCTCTAAACAATACATAGATAGGTGAAACCAAACGACGACTCAAAGACCGTTTCAACCAGTTGAAAACCCATCTAATATGTCCAAACTCATCACAGTCTCAGAACACTTTCTTACTAATGATCACTCTGCTAACGACATCACACTTAAATAAATGAATAATAAATAAATAATGATTTAGAGGTAGCACATCCACAAAGTCAGTTCTTCGTCTAACTTATTCCTGGTCGAACTGGAATTTGGAAATGTTGGTTTTTGGGGAGAGGGGAAAACCGGAGTACCCGGAGAAAACCTCTCGGAGCAAAGGAGAGAACCAACAACAAAATCAACCCACATATGGCGTCGACGCCGGGATTTAAACCCGGGCCACATTGGTGGGAGGCGAGCGCTCTCACCACTGCGCCATCCCTTGCTTCCCAAGAGAGCTCCCACTAGATCTCATTAAATCTACTGAAGGGAGACAGTGTACGAAAAGCAAGAGAAGCATACCTCATCGAGAGAGGTAAAACTCTTAAACCATTAGGTATGAATAAGAAAGATGAAATGTAATACCGTCTTTATTTCTTCTACTTGTCATTTATTTATACTATTTTTACTTTTCAAATTTCTTTCCAATCACTGCTTCAAGACCTTCAACGGTTTTTGCTTTCAACGTTCACTTTTTCCTCATTTAAAGTTTCACGTGTTATAATTATAGTACCATATTGCATGCTACTCTCTATTTCAGCTTAACCTCTTCATTATATGTACGACCCTGAATAAGGGAGGCTGTGCCTTCCGAAATATTGGTAATATATATATATATATATATATTCCCTACTGTAAAATAAACCTTGCTTCTTTTGTCTCAATAACTATGCAACGTACAAGTAAATGGCAAACACATTTACTTCATTTACATCTAGAAACTTTTAAGAATCATAATTCATTCTCTGAAAACTAAAAACCCAAACAAAAAAACAGCACACAGACGCTATATCTTGGGTAACCGCCTTAGTCAGGTTTGCGCATCCGTCGAGTCCTGTGGGAAAAGTCTTGTTGGACCCACGGGTCCCATGAATGTGACAATGAGCAGGCAAAAAATTGTTATTACTAATTCAGTTTTAATTACGTTACTTAAATTTGCCCTTAACACTTATCCTGGGCTAAAAATGATTGGTTGCATGATCAAAAAAGGACAATTTCCGTGCTAAAAAACTAGCCAAAAGTGCAAATTATTCTAGAAATGGGTTTTTCACGAAATACATGAAAATCATGCTTCTAAATCGCAATGAAGACGGGAATTATGCCAAAAATTATGCTAGCACAATGCATTAAAGCTTATTCACACTCTATGCGCTTTCGTTTGGCCCAGTTTCGAGAGCGTTTTCAAATCGACGCGATTTCGATGAAAACGCTTAACGCATTTGCGTGGACAGAAAGCCTAAACGCCTCGAAATGTATCCATATTTCTGAAATCGTGGTGACAGGCTAACTCCCAAGAGGCGCTCTTAGCCAAAAAAATTTAGACTGCTTGCAGTCCGCCTATCGTCTTAAAATCCGTCTAGTTCTTATCTCAGCTAGCCTGATTGCAAACCACGACGTTATGTTACAATAACGGATTGGGACGAGACGCCCTCTTTTAATCGCGGCTCCTGAACCCGGCTTCGCCGCTCACGTGCGTGGACTTTCCCTGCAGTAACTTTGCAAAGAAAAATAAGAGACTGCTTGCAGTCTAAAAGAATTCTACTCATCGTCAGAGAACGTTGAAAACGGAAAACTAGAGCTTTCAAAGCCGGCACCTGCTTTCCCCTTCGTGTGTTTGCCTTGCGCGCTCTATAAGTACTGACCAAAAAACTGACCGGCGCTGCCACGTACACAAGGAACGGTTGGCTGTGAAGCAGACTAGGGGCTCCTGGTCACTGGTATTAATATTATGCTGGAGGAAATGCTAGGTCGTTGAAATCGTTTCAAAACTTATCTCATATCATTTATTAGAGACTTTATTAGAGACAGCGCAAAAGGAGTCAAAACAGGAATACGACCTTGAAAACTTTATCTACACCAGGAGCATGCACGAAATGAATGCAGATTCATTGAGAGCAGATTATGACTAACGCTTATAATTAAGCTAATGCAAAGACCACTGAAGTGTAGCAGAGGACTTGTAAGCTACTCGTTTGTAACTTCCGTGGAGTTCATTGAACTTTAAGCCGACACTCAGAGCACAAAAAAAAAAGATCAAAGATAACAACAAAAGTACAAAAATAGAAGAATTGAATGGGTGGGCGGGACACAGCTTAAATTACGATGACAAGGAGAGGAATACTGCACTATTTATCTATTTACACCGTTTGTATAAGTACCCAGGTTATAAAACCAAGAGACATTGAAAGTCGAAAGGTAAGAAAGTATTATTTTCAAATTAACTCACCACGTTCCAGCGTCTATGACTCTTGCCTCTCCGATCCAAACGACGTCGAGAACCGGACGTGCGTAACTCGACCACACGTACCTAAACTGACAAGAGATCTGGGTACGAGATTACCGGTCGAACAACGGGGCAGTCTCCGGCTGGTGTCCCGCTGTTCACTCCAGAAGGGACACAGACAGGCCGGTCCCTTTTGAGTGACAGCTGGACATAATTATGCAATCTTACCTCATTAGCATCTCTAATCAAGCTCAAAATATGTCATACCCGAGTAATTTTATTGCAGTCATTAGCACTATTATCTAGTGACATTTTGAGTGCTATGTACTAAAAATATAATTTTTACGTAATGAACGTTCTGAACATTTCATACAGGTCCATAATCCATGATAGGCCCATAAGCGCTTATGCCATCCTCGCTGATCCTCGGCAAACTCCCACAACCACCACCTTGACTATTAAATGCACGCAAAGAGCTGAACTTTCTACGTTTTAAGTTTATTATGGCTCTTCAGAAGGCCCCCTTTTTTATTTTATAACGCGATGCTTTCTCCCAACTCTTGAGAGGGGATTCATGAGCGGCCTTGAACTTCTTTACTAAGTTCTCTGCCAATGTAGCCTGCAAGAGCTCTCAGAGTTTTTTTAAAACGAGGAAGAGAAGCGACGACCGGAAATACGTCTGTGGTTCGCAAGCTAATGCCAATGTAGCCAAATAATTTATGCGGTGACGCAGTAAGGATGTGTTAATTTAGCATATTAAATGATCAAATCTTTTTTCTTGATAATTTTAAACTTGCAA